CAGATGGCGGCTATATCTGTTGTTCGACCAATATAGAATAAGAATACTTGATAGATCACACAGAGGATATACACGCAGTACTTAAATATGTAAACGAGTATACAATCCCGCAGAAGGAATTAGGGTGCGTTGTTTGTTGAAACTAAAATTTGATAAGCATAAGCTAAGAATATCAAGACACTTACCTCGGCTGGTTTTTGGCGATAACAACGACGCGCCGTAGCGCGCTCGTGTTAGCACATGTTTATCCTAACTGGAACTCAAGATGGGGGTTTGATCTCCTAGTAGTGTAATTTTTATAATTATTAAACGTTTATTGACAAAATTTTTAGAAAAAAAAACGTCGAAACTAAGCTTAGGATTATATTAAGATTTAAAAAGCAGGGAAGCTTGTTGTCGTGATTTTATTGCATTTATATAAAATATATGTGTGTGTGTGTGTGGTGCCCGCGCGGCGATTTATGTATTACTGGGCTGAAACTGTAGTTGCAATGTATTGTCAATTTTGTGATGAATGTTATATAAATAATATTGATTTATTATTGTTATTGATTATATGAAATTCATATTAACTATAATCCTTCTTTTTTATTGAAGATTATATTTTTTCTTAGTAAGGTTCTTAATTTTTATTTATCTGTCATAAAACTTATTGGTAAACAAAATTCTTAATTAGATAATGTTGTGATATGTAGTGATAATGAGTTACGAAGGATGCGTGTGAGGGCGGAAAGAATGGAGGGAGGGTGGGGATGCAGCGCATAAGATAATGGAGAGACGGAGGAGAGCGAGGATCTTTGTTTACTGATAGAAATGGTGATAGAAGTTGATAATACTGCAATAACAAGATTAAAGTAGATGTACTGAAGAGATGAACAATATAATATATATGTAGTTGTTGGTATCGTGTTTATTATATATATATAAATATAAACCGATACAAGCAATTATATTGGGATTATAATAATATTATAATTTTGTATGCAACAACAATACAATAAATGCTAATTATTATATATATATATATATATATAATATATTATAAAATGACAATTATATTGGCTGGATTATAAATTATTATAAATTTTTATGCAACACAATCAGATAAAATGGCTAATATATATACGTATTCGCCTCGAATAAAGGGCCGGCGTTTATTGTCTTTCGTCACACCTAGGACCGGGCTATTCAAGATGCTTTATTCAGGAGGGGGTTGTTTTTGTTTTACTGGGGCATGCTAGCCGTATTGAATTTATTTTCCTCGATAATATATGACTAGAGACAGGCCTGTTATTTCGTGCAATTCTGGCAACACTTTGTTTTGTTTGTGTTTTTTCACGAAGATTTTGTTTTACTCTGGGCGAGATTCGACCTGCTTGGTTATCAAAACCATGAAAGTAATTAATACGCGTACAAACTGTATAGGTATATAGCTATCACCTCCCGTGGACTATTCCGGCCGGGTTTATTCTTTAGGGAGCAGTAGCCTCTAAGGATTTTACTGCATACAGCTGTACTTACTGTCTAAAATCGTCTATCCGGCCACATTTATTTGTTACAGATTAACCTAATTTAACTGTTATAATTAATTAGACATCACACTAGAAATTTGACCGGCGTCATGACCCCTAGCGTACGGTGCTGCCACGCCGAAAAAGTTAGGCGTATTTGACAATTTATTTTGCCGTTCTACGACCGAGGGCTATATCAGCAAAGTGGCAATTATGTTTTATAATGCTATTACTACCGAACGATATTAGATTTTCCTACGGCAAATTTACTAATATTATAACTGGAAACTATTATGTCGTTTATAAGATATTACATTCCGTTTTGCTTTAAACGAATAATAAGAACACCCTCGGTTGTAGCCTTGCTGGAAGAGTGGTTTGCGGCCATATCAGATTGTGCGCTTTGAGTGGGCTAAACGTCGTTGTAATCAACTGTAGTGCGTTTAGTGTTTAAAAATTTTTTTTTAAATATTTTAATGGTGATTGAACCATTGAAAACTTTTTATGTGGCGCGAATTATACGCTTAATTAGGCTGAAATCGCCTAGAGACATATGAGTAAACTCTCTTGACGTTTTTACGCCCACCCCCGGCCTTAATCAACGACTGGCCTTTGATTCGCAAGGCTATTGTTCGAGGGAATACGGTATATATATATATACTATATATATCTATTATATATATTAATCGTGGCATTAGCCAGTAATATCTGGAGGCTCCTGTAAAGGTTATTCTAGTTTAATTACTGTATTAGAATGTAAATTGGAAACGATTTTTCCGCGGTTATGGACTATCGACTTAAACGCTACGTTGCTGCTACATACATTGAGTAAAATCCTACGCAATGTTTTTCGTGGTAATCATATAGGGTAGTAGGGCCTGCGATGATTTGCATGACGTGTACTTTTTACGGTTTCAAGAACCCAACCAGCGTTAGAGATTAGGCTAAAGGGGTGATTTTATAATGCACACATTTATTATAGGGTCATTTAATTTTATGACGCCATTTTCTATCAAAATCTATTAGAGGTTGCTCTACCGCCCTTTCTTGGCTTGATGGCTTGAAGTCACATGCTTGAGTCAGCATTTACGCGTTGTTATATTTCTACTCTTTCGTGTCGCGGCCTGCATCTCTTAGAGGCGATCATTGTCGTTAACGACGCGGCGTTGGAAACGTAACCCATGCTGTAATTTTCTCCTCTTTGTAATTATGCAAGGGGTGTAGGCTTTGGTAGCATCGCAGTACGTCGTAGTCAGGCCGTAAGATGCGCGCGTGAAATGCAGCATGAGCGAGAGTGAGCCACACCAGCGCTATATACAGGCCCTCGAGAGAGTGTGGAAGGGACGTTGCCCAGTCTTCAGTGTTGTATGGGTTTTGTAAAATAATGGGTTTCAGAATTGAATCAGGTCTTCCCCGCACAGGCGCAGGATACCGACGGCATAGGCGAGAATCAGCGCGTAGGTATTGCCTAACGGAATGTAGAGGCGCCGCCACACAGCTGCGCGAACCCATGACGTAAACGAGGTCGGAGGGCGAGGTGAAACAGGCGGGTAAATAGAATCGACGCTCAGTCCGATTGCCATGGCTAACACGGCAGCGATCTATTGACTCCACGCCCGTACAAGCCGACGGCGCGGGAAGCTGAAATAAAGAATTAAAGGGCAGTCAGCGTATACGACGAAAGACAAATATTTTTCAATACGCTCTTGCTTTTTGGGCAGCCATTTTGATTCCTGACGAAAGCAAGTCAGCGTCTGACAGAATGAGGTGCTATTTACTACAGCACGTAGGGGGTCTACAGGCAAGTATAACGCTGAAGTATCGGCTAAAGAGGTCAGAAACGATAAAGAGACAAGGATTTGCTTACATCGCGTTTCGTTATGGCAACACAGGTGACGCTGACGATGTTGTTTGGCGAAGAGCGACGCGACGCTGAGAACAGGAATGAGCTCCTGCTGAAAGAATGACGGCGGCAGGACCGGCTTCCAGGCCGAAGATGAACCCCCCGCGGGGGGTGAGGTATTGCATGAGCGATGGGCAGGATGAGGCTTTTTTGTCGGCGTCGGATGCGGTATTTTCTGCGTCGGATAGGATCGTTGGTTCCAGTCTATGTGAGAGTGTGTATACTGATATACAGGTGATATTTACATTTTCTATAGAGCCTCGAACGAAGAACGTGTTACGTTCGTGTACATACACACACGTCCACACGTTACCAACGTACAGCACAACAACACACACACACACACCCTCAACAGCCACACACACACCAACACACACACCACGACACACACACAGCACTACACACCGACAGACACACAACACAAAACGAGACGACACACACACACCACACACACACCACACACACACCCACAAACATCGATACGGCGCGCGGGCAGGGCGCGCGGCGACAACACCACACACTATATAGTACCTATATCTACACCACACCCACAGCCGCGCGACACGACGGATGTGACGGCCACAGAAGCCAGCGAACGCTTTCAAACACGTATGATGTTAAGCATCACTATTCGTCTTACATCCGTTACTTTCATTCGTCGACCTGTCGGATTATCAGCTGTCTGTCATGATTACCTGTCGCTCCAGCGATAGCTCCGATGAGTATCGAAGGGATGCTCATGAATAACGCTCCGTGCACCAATGAATGACAGCACCATCGCCGTGTTGGCAGTCCTAGACGCCAGCACGCGTTTGGAAGTACACCTGGCGAGCCAAATCAACAGGCACGTTTTAAAATTATGCAAACGTTCGCCAGCGCGGTGTCACCCAAGTCTTTACTTGGCGATTGTAATGGAATAAGCGACAGCAAACGGATGCATTCATGGAGATGAGCGGCGAATATGTAAGGAGAGATACGAAATTCTTTACTATTAATACGTGAATATGTAGCTCTAAATGTATGGTCATTTGCTCTGGGCCCACATATCGTCACTAGCTCTCCTATGTAGCACTTGCTGCGCCAGCAGGCTTCATCTAGCCGTCCTGTGTTAGTCTTTTGCTCCGATCAGTCTTGCGTTTTGGACAGAGATATTCTAAATTAGTAAAATGTGCACCTATTTCCACGCGACACTTGCTGTACTTATTAAGCGTAAATAGTTTAACAACAATGGCATAACACTGCCGATGGAATGCGGCCGAATATGAGATGAAGTGGCGTAGTCACGCCCATCGCACCGCATTTCCACTCCGCGTTCGTACGCAGGAGGTAGGCGGGGTTATGCCGCAGTCACGGCGATGGCTTGACACGCGGATGCGTCTGGCAACGGTGATGAGTTAACGACGAGGCGATGAAACGCACATAAATACATTAGTCACTCTCTCTTTCTCTCTCTCGGCTCTGCTCTTCATCGTGCTCTTCATCCATCTAGTCTCTTCTGCTCTATGCTCTCTCTCTCTGTCTCGCTCGGCCCTCTCTCCCTCTCACACACATGCATGCACACACGCACACACACACGCACGCACGCACACACGCGCGAGCGCAGTACACAAGCTGCACATTGTCCGACGCGCTCACAACAGACACCACACCCACTCACACACCTACAAACACCCACTCACACACCTACAAACACCCACTCACACACCTACAAACACCCACTCACACACCTACAGCACACCACAACACAGTGGGAGTCCTACAAGGACATGCTTTACCTTCGCTTAGCTGAAATGGTTAATCAACGCTATTAAGAATCCGAAGAAAGTTCACATATATAATATATATAATTATAATGTATGTAAGGTAACAATGTAATGTAATAGTATGTAATGTAATGTAATGTAATGTAATGTAATGTAATGTAATGAAATGTAATGTAATGAAATGTAATGTATGTAATGTAATTTAATGGCAATGTATGAAATGCATGTCTGTATGAATTTGTAATGTAACGGCAATAACAGTGATGTGGATTAATGTTTTATAACGTGATGTGATGCTAGATGTAATGTAAAGTTATATAATGCGCATATCATAGTGATAGTCTATTTATCGAACCGATTATTTGCAGCAAATAATTCTGCCCAGCACCGGCGCGGATGAAAGCATGCAGATTAGCTGGACAAACGTCTGTGTGGCGACGAGTAGCGTCGCGAGAAGAGTGTAGAATATGGGATGGCAGGCCGATATGATGCGGAAAGCGCTGATACCAGGCTCAGTATAACCGGGAGTGTTGCACGTGTGATAGGGCAATAACACAGAGAAATGTCATTGCAATAGCCTGGGCAACTTCATCTGTTTAATATTCATTTGAGAGTATTTTTTCTTCTTGATTAGTCTTAGCGCATATTCATTATTTTGAATCTCCAGGACACCAAAGCGAAGTAAAAGTTAAATGAACTAAGGAAATCCAGCTATATACGTAGTATCAAAATCTGTCAAATAGTCCTTGTGATTTGAATAAATGGATTTTTTATGAAAGCAAAAATATCGCTTACAGTGGGTTTACGCTATCAACTTTCTGATGAAATGTTGACGAGTTGGATAAATTTGTGCAAATAATGCGACGCGATATGTCGGAGTGTTTTAAACGTACGTTTAACGATCAACAGTTAAGATCAACTATTTTTTCAGATTAAAACATCGTTCTAGTTTTTCGAATTTTTGGTCACTTGCTTGGCCACTCCAGCACTCAGCACTGATTTGCTCGATAATAGCAATCAAGGTGTTGTCAGCCTCCACGATGGGAGAGTATGGTGCGCGCGCGTTTTTTGGTATGAGCGCCACACTTGGCGCGAATTTATTACGTGGCAAAATATGCGTATCACGTGCGCCTCGCGACAAGCGGGTAGCAGTGTTTGAACGTTTGCCGCTGATTTGTCGGTTCGATAATGTAAAAATTAAACATCTGAAAGATTGGTAGAAGATATTATATGGAGCATTGTCTACATACATTGTAGGTGTTGCGCAAGCACTTCCTGTTAGGGTGATCGTAGTAACTTCGAGTTAGTTACGCTTGGGTTTAACCTGATCGAAAAGTCGGCGAGTTGATATTTAAAGTAAATTTTTACTGTGAGGCGAATAATCTAGTTAACATTTCATGATGGGATTTTTCTCCGGCTCACGCTAGTTCGAGAGCTGTTGCGACGAAATTAGTTGTTTTTTTGGGTTGAAACGATTTAAGTGAATGGGGGGTATTTGGGGGTTACATTGTCTCGTCGTGTCGGTAAGTCATTTGATATATCATTTTTTTTCCCTCTTATACAAAGATGGTTAACACATGCCGAGGGCAGTCAGGCCCTTTTCTTTCCCGCGCGGACAAATAACAATATTCGGTCAAGTTAATTAATTGGCTCCACCGAGATGGCTTGAGTATGGGATGCCGACTAGAAAAGTTCCCGCCGAGTAGAGCGGGTATGAAGAGCAGACAGCGCTGATTCTACCATACTTGATGCAGAGTGGATCCAGCATGGTCACAGTACGGCAGCGCTGTGCATCTTTTTGGCAAAGGAAGGGCCGCCTGCCCGTACACGCGAGTTTATATAGTAATGACGCGTCGCGCTGCGAACACCACTACGAATACACAGGACAGCCCGGACACATCAACACACCCTGCGCGCGCGCGAGCTAGACTCACGCACGACACCACGCGCGCGCAGAGGCGCCACCACACACCCATGCATGCAAGCGGCAAAGAAACACGGAGTGCGGATCGCACGCACGGGCGCATCACACGGCAAAAAACAACGCTCACACGCACGGCACGCACGGCGCACATGCACGCGCAAACTCGCACGCAGCGGCGCACGACGCGCGCGCAACATACACACACTTTACGGCGCACACAATCTGTATATCACATAACGGAACACGCAGCCCCAACAGCCAACACAACGGACACCAACAGTGCGTCGGCACACACCACACCCCACGTCCCCACACCACACCACTACACCCACCAACAACCACACAGCACGGCGGCGCGCGACAAGAACGCACGCGCTCAGCGAAGCACGCACGGCGCGCACAACCCACACGCGCTCACAAGCCGCATAGGCTTAGATTTACAACTATTCTTGAAAAATGCCTAAATATCCTTACCGGAATATCTTGCCAATAAATTCTCAGTAAGTATTTCAGTTTTCTTTTTATATCCGCAAATATTTTCTAATATTCAGTTATTTAAGTAATGTACTTTTAAACATATTTTTATTTTGTGCGAAAAAAATTTATACAGAATTATATTTATGAAATTTATAAAAAAATTAAAATAATATAATTAAAAGAAATTTTCACGAAAAAGACAACTCATCTTAATATTCTTATATTTGAGAAATTAGTGTTTTATCTTCTTAATATCAAGGAATTTTCTAAATTCTAGTATTTTTCTATAATATCCGAAACTTTAATATCTAAAAAGATATCCGGATATTTGTATCTAAGCCTAAGCACGCACGAGCGCACAAACACTCATCCAACTCAATCACATCAAATGTTTCTATTCACTCCGCATGGTATTACCCTTTGCATTCCGACCGATGCCATCGACAGTGACAGGTACAGGTGTAATTAGTAATACAGGTTTTAGTGGTTCTCTTACCAATAATCAAGCTGGTCGCATAGCCAAACGGGGCCTCAGCCCATATCAGTCCTTTCTTATACACAATCTCGGCTGTTCCGTTTATATATCCTCCACCCACCACGTTGCTGAAAACAGTGAACAATAGTAGGCCTACACGTCATTATAACCATCCAAAATGACCGTCAACATTGACCAAAATAGAAATCGCGCCCTTTTCAACCACGACGTCGCCATTCATTATGTCTGCAGATACTGCAAAGTCCCTTGAGGAATGTGCGACGTCTTGGTTTGGGCAGGATTAACGCGATTACAGGATTAACGCGATTACAGGATTAACAGGATTACAGGATAACAGGATTACAGGATAACAGGATTACAGGATAACAGGATTACAGGATTAACAGGAGTTACGCGATTGACTTGAGTTGAATGAACAGATGCAACACAATATATTACCAGGACCCGATAAACTACATGTTATTTTTATTTACTTTATATGATTTTACTAATTATCTTACTAATTACTGATATAATTATTATTTATTTAATATATATAAATTATATAAAAAATATGTTATATATATATAACATTTTATTTATTATAGATATATTATATTTATAAATGCCTATATAAATTTATTATTATATATAATTACTATTATACTATACATATTACTATCACTTCTACATTTTACACGGTATTGGTAATAGCTAATTGCAGTTTAAGCTGGAACTATTCACGTGAAATTCAAGGCAATGCTGTCGAATTGTTACACGACGTTGCTACCGCGAACAGCTGCTTATGAATGCGCTCTTACGTCTATCATTCTTTCCCTCTCTATTTATCTTTCTCACGTACTCTCCCACCCTTTTATCTCCCCTCTTTTATATATACAGCCCTTAATATTTACTATGGATATAATATAAGTATATATATATTATATATATTATTATATATATATATATGAAGAGCTAAGTAACAATCTATAGCTAAATATAATAAATAGTATATTATTAGGCTCTTTATATATATTATTATATATATATATATATGTGTGGTGTGTGTGTGTGTGCTGTGTGTGTGTGTGTGTGTGTGTGTGTGTGTGTGTGTGTTGGTGTGTGTGTGTGTGTGTGCTGTGTACTGTGTGTATTGAGTGTTGTGTGGTGTTGTGTTCGTGTGTGGTGTGTGTATGTGTGTGGCTGTGTGTGTGTAGTGTGTGTGTGTGTGTGTGTGTGTGTTTGTGGTGTGATGTGTGTGTGGTGTGTGTGTGTTTGAGTGTGCGGGTTTGTGTGGGGTGTGTGTGTAGTGTGTGTGTGTGTGTGTGTGTGTGTGTGTGTGTGTGTGTGTGTGTGTGTGTGTGTGTGTGTGTGTGTGTGTGTGTGTGTGTGTGTGTGTGTGTGTGTGTGTGTGTGTGTGTGTGTGTTCGCGTTTATGTGATATATACAGAGTGTGTGCGTAAGTGTGTGTATGTGTGCGCGTGCGTGCGTGTGCGCGCGTGCGTGCGATTGTGCGTGCGTGCATGTGCGCGCGTGCGGGCGTGCGTGTGAGCGCGTGTGCGTGTGAGCGCGTGCGTGCGTGCGAGCGTGTGTGTGTTGTGCGCGCGTGCATGCATGTGGGTGTGTGTGTGTGTGCGCGCGCGCGCGTGTGTGTGCGTGCGTGTGAGTGTGCTCGCGCGCGCGCGTGTGTGTGTGTGTGTGTGCGGGCGTGTGTGTCTGTGTATCTGTGTGTGTGTGCGCGCGCGCGTGCATGTACTAGTATAAACGTGGCGTGGTTACTGCAGGCGGGCTCTTCTTTGCCAAAAAGATGCACAGCGCTGGGTACGTGACCATGCTGGATCCACTCTGCATCAAGTATGGTAGAATCATGGCTGGTCTGCTCTTCATACCGGCTCTACTCGGGGAACTTTTCTGGTCGGCAGCCATACTCAAGGCACTCGGTGAGCATTAATTTAACGTGAAGCGAATATTGTGTGATGTTGTGCGGCGGAAAGAAGGTGCCTGACTGCTCGGATTTGTTTTAACCATCTTTGTATAAGAGGGAAAGAAAATGAATATCAAAATTTACTTACCGACACGACTAGACATATGTAACCTTCACTTAGAGGTTTCAACGCCAAAAAAACAACAATTCGTCGCAACAGCTCTCGGAACGTACGTAGCCGGAGAAAAAATCGCATTCATGAAAGTGTTAACTAATTATTTCGCCTCACAGTAAAATTTACTTTAAAGTTGATCAACTCGCCGACTTTTCGATAGGTAAACCCAGCTTAACTAACCGGAAGTACTAACGATCACCCTAACAGGAAGTGCTTGGCGCACACCGACAATGGTATGGTAGACAATGCTGCCATTATACGTTCTACCAATCTTTCAGATGTTTAATTTTTTTACATTATCGACCGCAATCGAGTCGGCAAACGTTTCAACATTGTACCCGCTGTGTGCGCGGAGGGCGACGTGGATACGCATTTTTGCACGTAATAATTCGCGCCAGTGTGGCGCTGATACCAAAAACGCGCGCGCAGATACTCTCCCCATGGGTGGAGTGACACACCTTCTGATTGCTATTATCGGAGTGGCTGAGTGGCTGAGTGGCAAGAAGTTGACCAAAAGTTGGAAAAATAGAACATGTTTTAATCTGAAAAATAGTTGATCTTAACTTGTTGATCGTTAACTGTTACGTTTACACTTCCGACATTCGGTCGATTAGTTGACAAATTTATCCAACTCGTCAACATTTCATCAGAAAGTTGATAGCGTAAACCCAGCTTTAAGGATTATTTTTGTTTCATAAAAAATCCATTTATTCTAAATCACAAGGACTATTTACAGGATTTTGATACTACGTATATAGCCTGTGTTCTCTTAGTGCATTTAACTTTTACTTCGCTTTGGTTTCCTGTAGATTTCAATAATAATTGAATTATGGGTAAGACTAATCATAGAAGAAAATTACTCTCAAATTGAATATTAAACAGATGAAGTTGTTCCAGGGCTTTGCAATGACATTTCTCTGTGTTATTGCGATGCACAGGTGCAACACTCGCCGTTATACTGAGCCTGGATCAGCGCGTTTCCGTCATCATATCGGCCTGCATCGCCATATTCTACACGTTCTTCGGCGGACTGTACTCTGTCGCCTACACAGACGTTGTCCAGCTAATCTGCATGTTCATCGGGCTGGTGTGTGGCAGAATTATTGTGGCATAATAATCGGTTCGATAAATAGACTATTGCACTATGATATTGCGCATTATATAACGTTACATTACATTAGATCACATACGTTATAAAACATTACATCACATCACGTTGTATTGCGTTACATTACATTGCATTACAGTACATTTCATTTCATTACATTGCATTAAATTACATTACATTACATTACATTACATTACATTACATTACATTACATTACATTACATTACATTACATTACATTACATTACATTACATTGTTACCTTACATTACATTATATTATATTATATTATATGATGTGTAACTTTCTTCGGATTCTTAATAGCTTTGAAACCATTTCAGTAGCAAGGGAGAATGCATGTCCTTGTAGGACTTCCACTGTGTGTGTGGGCGACAGACGCACAATGCATGCCCGATTCTACAAGGCGGGCATCTCGACTACGTCAGATGACGTCAAAGGGTGGGCTTTAACTTGTGCTCGCCAATAGAGTGTGGGTCGATTGCGTAGTGAATCATTTGTAAAATCAAGATGCATAGAAACTAACTAATCTAGCCTACTGCCAACTACCTCGTCCGTCTGTGTTGTGCGCTACTTGACCTCGATGTAAACGCACCCGCTATCTCCATCACACCTGTTTACGAAAGTCTGTGCTTTTCCCTGCAAGTCAGTCTCCACTTGGCATGCCCATACACTCACAAGTGCGATGTTACTCAATTTAGAGAAGTTACATAATCGCTATGGCCAACCTTTTAAAAAATGGTGAATGATTCCGCATCGATGTCAGAGCCTGAAACGCCCATAACAAGCATCTGCTATGCGATAAGAAGTGCAAGCCAGTGCTGTATAAGATGTGTGTCGCCATAGCGGCTCTTCCTCCTCAGCTGAAGGAACAGTTCGATAAATTGTAAAGGATACCATATTGGTTTATAGCTTTTGACGTGTCTGAAAACAAAGTTATATCGAGCATTAATTAAGACGTGAATGGGCCAGCAACATCGTTGCAGATGGTTGATGTTAGAGTTATCGATCGATTACACTCAGTGTATATCTAAAATACTGTCCATAAACACGGTGTTGGTTAGCCTGACCAAGCTGCGAGCACCAAGCGTCAATTCATCTTGTCAATATACAACATCGTCAATGCCATTGTGCATGTGTATGTACGACATGAGCACGTCCACTCCAGTAGACAGAGTCACGAGCTGCCCTGCGTCTATGTATAAGTTGAATACAAGTCCCCGCATAGCGACCAGGCGCTCAGTCTAACGTCTACGCGTGACTCTGTGGTGGTGTGTGTGTCAGGTGAACGCGAGGGTATGTCCGGTGTAGTGTAACCCTGTTAGTCCCAGAATGTGTCTGTCACGTACAACGGCCGTGAAACACTCCGTACGCTCGCGCACGTGTGTGCGTGAGGGATGGTATCAGGCAACGTCTTCAGACAGAGTGCGAGATGTTCGTTGGATGTATAAATCGTGCATCGATGATGGCGCGTCGTTAATGTCTTCAGAGTAAAGAGGAAGCTCCCATCATTTCGTAGTGCAACAACTATTTGCAAGACAGAATAGATAACGACTCATCTCATTTTATGCCGTGCTGTGCGAAGCTCGTGACAGCAGGCCTTCAAATTGCAATATGAGATGCTGCCACCTTCCAAACCAAATTTAATCGTGTCGGCGACAGATGCGATCAGTAGAAATCTGCGTCGCGCGCGAAGCACTGCAGCGACCGAATGACGCAGCAGCGCGCGCAGGAACAGTAAGAGCGAGATGCACAGCTGTTACATGAACAATTAGACTTGAGACGAGAGAGACAGGTATAATGACGAGTAAGAAATTATTACGATTTTAAGGAAACATCACTTCTTCTAACCAAAAGGTTATAGGACTCTTTGAGAAATTTCCACTGTGACATAACAGAGAGCACTGTAGGCCCATATCATCCAGGCCTGCGATCTATAGATTCTGACTGAGCAAACCACACGCAGAGAAAAATTGCGATTTCGATGACACAGTGAGTAACACGTTAAAATCAGATATATAAGTCCATAAGTGTGTTCTTAATATCTCCGTGCCTGCTTATTATCGAATACCGCGTTTCTAAAATAGCCGATTTGAACGCTTACTGCACAGGCACTCTCTGGCGGCACTCGGCAAGCATCGCCGTGACTGCGGCAAACCCCGCTACCTCCTGGTACGGAACGCTGGAGTGGAAATGGGCGGGCGTATGGGTGGACTACGCACTTCATCTCATATTCGGTGGCATTCCATGGCAGGTGTGTTATGTGCCATTGTGTTAAACTATTTACGCGTTATAAGTACAGGCAAGTGTCGGTTAGAAATAGTTGACATTGTTTACTAATTAGAATTTGGCTCTGTCCTAAAAACTGCAAGACTGATGCGGAGCAAAAGACTACACAGACGGGGCTAGAGTGAAGCCTGTGGCGCAGCGAAGTGCTACATAGGTAGAGCTAGTGTGACGTATGTGGCAGAGCAAATGACCATACATTTAGAGCTACATATTCACGTATTAATAGTAAAGAATTGGTATCTCTCGGTTACATATCGCTCATCTCCATGAATGGTCCGTTTGCTGTCGCTATTCCATACAATTCCAAGTAAACTTGGTGACACGCGCGTGGAACGTTTGCATAATTTTAACGTGCCTGTGATTCTAGGCCTCGCAGCCGTGTACTTCCAACGCGCTGCGGGGCTCTAGGACTGCCAACACGGGCGATGCTGCTGTCATCATTGGTGCCAGCAGCGGAGCCCCGTTATTCAATGAGCAATCCCGCGTTTCGGAGTGGTAAACATCGAGTCGTGAGCTATCTCGACGGCTGACACCTTCAAATACATGGACACGTACAGCTAACATTGATCGACAGTTAGTCGTCAGCACTCTATAAATCGAAAGATAAAACGTTTTATTCGTATCAGGCACCATATCAGTCGTCAGAATGCCCTTATTAATCCTCACTAGCGTTGATATAGAAAAGTCGGTCTTCCGTCGCTGTTGTTCTTGTGTGCCCATTGTACGCTGCTTTGTCTGTGGCTCGCTGGCGCAATTTCAGACACGTTAGTGATCGTGCTGTGCCTACCCATTGTATGTCGTGTATATGCATACCGACATAGTTACATACGATGACCTGAGGTCATATGGAGTCTGTTAGATTATAGTGCCGCGAATCAGCATGTTGTCGTGCCCTATACCTTAATTAAGGATGAATGCTTCCCCCTCTTTTTACACCTCTTGACCTTTGACCTTTAACCCCCAGTTCGAACATCCCAACCTCGTTTGTGGGAGCGGATCCCCGCGCGCCCAAGCGCACCGCGCGCCGCATCATCGCGCTGTGGATCCTGATGTGTGTACGTGTGTGGTGATGGCTCGTGGTGCTGTTGAAGATGTGTGCCCAACCTTTGTGCGTGCGAACAATCGGTGTGTGGTGTGTGGTGCTGTGTGTGTGTGTGTGCTGGGTGGGTGACTGATGTGTGTGTCGTCCGACGGACCGGTGTGGTGACGAGTGTGGTGTGTGTGGGTGTGTGCTGTGTGTGCTGTGTGTGTGTGTGTGTGTGTGTGTGTGTGTGTGTGATGATGTGTGCGTGTACGTGTGTACGTGTGTGTACGTGTGTGTATGTACACGAACGTAACACGTTCTTCGTTCGAGCGTGCTTATAGAAATATGTAAATATCATGTATATCGTATACACACTCTCACATAGACTGGAACGCAACGTCCTATCCGGGAGAAATACCGATTCCGGACGCCGACAAAAGCCTCATCTTGCCCATCGTCATGCAATACCTCACCCCCGCGTGGGTGTCATTCTTCGGCCTGGGAGCCGTGTCTGCCGCCGTCATGTCTTCAGCAGACTCATCCTGTCTCAGCGTCGCGTCGCTCTTCGCCAACAACATCGTCAGCGTCATCTGGGTTGCCATAACGAAACGCGATGTAAGCAAATCCTTGTCTCTTTATTGGTTTCTGCCTCTTTAGGAGTACTTTCAGGTTATAGCTTGGCCTTAGCGTGTGTAGTAAATGCACCTCATTCTGTCAGACGTGACTTGGCTTTCGTAGGAATCAAAATGCCAAAAAGCAAGAGCGTATTGAAAAAATATTGTCTTTCGTCGTATACGCTGACTGCCCTTTATTTTGATTTCAGCTTCCCGCGGTCGGCTTGGTGTGGACGGTGCGTGGAGGCATAGTCGCTGCCGGTGTGTTAGCCATGGCAATCGGACTGAGCGTCGATTCTATTTACGGCCTGTTTCACCTCTGCTCCGACCTCGTTTACGTCATGTTGTTCCCGCAGCTTGTGGCGGCGCTCTACATTCCGTTTAGCAATACCTACGGCTCGATTCTCGGCTATGCCGTCGGGCTATTCCTGCGCCTTGGTGGCGGGGAAGACCTGATCAATCTGAAACCCATTATTTTTTACCCGCATTACAACACTGAAGACGGGCAACTGTTTCCCTTCCACACTCTCTCGATGGGCGCTGGTATGATAGCGCTGGTGTTGGGCTCACTGCTGGCTCATGTGATTTTCACGCGCGGCATCTTACCGGCTGACTACGACGTACTGGGATGCTACCAGAAAGCTGACACGCTTGCATATTACAAAGAGGAGAAATTACAGATGGGTTACGTTTCCAACGGGTTGTTAACGACAGATGATCGGCCTGTCGGAGATGCAGGGGACACGAAAGAGTAGAATATAACAACGGTAAATGTGACTTCAAGCCATGTGACTTCAAGCCATTCAAGCCAAGAAAGGGGGTAGAGCCGCTCTAATAGATTTTTGATAGAAAATGTGCGTCATAAATTTAAATGACCCTATAATAAATGTGCATTATAAAATCACCCCTTTAGCCTAATCTCAACGCGTGGTTGGTTTCTTGAAACCGTAAAAAGTACACGTCATGGAAATCATCGCAGGCTACTACCCTATATGATTACAGCGAAAGGACATTGCGTAGTTGATTTCACTCAGATGTATGTAGAGCAACGTAGGTTTAAGTCGATAGTCGATAACGGGAAAAATCGTTTCCAATTATACATCTAATACAGTAATTAACAGGAATAACCTTCACAGGGAGCCTCCAGATAGTACTTGGTATCACGTTTATATATATATATATATATATATAGATATATATATATATACGTAC